ACATCTAATCCCATTGCCCCAGTTATCATGTCAATCCATCTCATCCAGGGTCTTCCTCTTCTGTGCTATCTCTCCACACTTCCAAGCATAATGTCCTTTTTCTAAGGACTGATCCCTCCTGGCCATGTGCTCAAAGTATGTGAGACAGAGCTTCAAAATCTTAGCCCCCAGGGAGAAACTTGGTTTCACCCACTCTATGACAGACCTATTTGTTTTTCTGGCAGTCCATGGTATGTTGAATATTCTTAATAGTCATATGTTATTTATAGGCGACATCAGGTCAAGTACGACCCAAAAGGACCCTATCAACAGATATGAATGCTCTCCTATCCTATGCCATCTTCACACTTCCTGACACACCAGAGCCCATAGTGGTAGTCACTGTGTCAATCTACCTGATTGAGAGTCTCCCTCTCCTTCGCCAACCTTCTGCCTTTCCAAGTGCTCTCCATAGGAATTGGAGACTTTCTAGCAACATGCCTCAAGTGTGTGAGGCAAAGCTTTATCCTTTTTGCCTCCAAAGAGCACTCTGACTTCACTTTCTCCAAGAAATATTTGTCTGTCTTTTGGCAGTCCATGGAGTATTAAGTACTCTTCTCCAACACCACAGCTCAAAGGAGTAAATTCTTCTGTCATCTTTTATCATTATCCAGCTCTCAAATGCATAGAAAGTAATCAGAAATATCATGGCCTGAATCAGACACAACTTAGTCCTAAAACTGACATAATTTATTTTCAGTAATTTGGAGAGGTTTTTAACTACAGACATTCCCAGTACAATATATCTCCTTATTTCCTGACTGCTGGTACCAAGGGTATTGATTGTGGATCCAAGAAGGATGACGTTGTTGGCAGTTTCAGTCTTTTCCTTATCTATCATGATGATGCCTATTTGTCCAATTGTAAGAATCTTTGTTTTCTTGACATTGAGATACAATCTATTTTGAAGATTTTGGTTTTCTACAAGTACTTCAGGTCCTCTTCACTTTCAGCAAGCAGGGTTATGTCATCTGAATAACACACTTTATTGATGAATTTCCCCCTCTGATCTTGTTGCCTCTTCTTCATAGATTTCAGCTTCTTGAATAATTTGCTCAGAATATAGATTGATGAATTATGGCAAGAGAATACAACCCTGACACACTCCCTACTTAATTTTAAACCATATATAATTTTTTTAAACCAATTTTAAACTTTGTTCTGTTCACACAGCAACCTTTTGGTATATCTGTCTATATCTATATCTATATCTATATCTATATCTATATCTATATCTATCTATATCTGTCTATATCATCTATATATCTATATCTAATCTATATCTATATCTATCTATATCTATATCATCTATATTTATATCTATATCTATATAACTATATCATCATCTATATCTATATAATCTATATCTATATCATCTATATGTATATTTATATCTATATCTAATCTATATCTATATATATCATCTATATCTATCTCTATCTCTATCTCTCTCTATATCTATATCTATATCTAATCTATCTATTCAGATAAGCCCAATTAAGTGCCATGGGATTCCCATTTTTCTCAATGTTAGCCATGACTTGCTATGATCCACATAATCAAAAGCCTTTGCATAGTCAATAAAACAAATAGCCGTTCTTCTGGTATCGTTTTTTACCTTCAGCCAGATCCATCTGACATTAGAATTATATCCTTTGTGCCACAGCCTCTTCTAAGTCCTGCTTGTACTGCTGGCAGACCCCTATCTATGGTACTATTCTGGTGTTTTTTTAATGATTTCTACAGTATCTTGCTTATAGGTGATATTAGTGATATTGTTTAATGTCAGAATGTTTCCACATTCAGTTGGATCCCTTTCTTGGGTATAGGAACAAATATGGACTTCTTCTAATCCATTGGCTGGAATATGTCCACCAAATCCTGCCGTAGACTGGTGAGCATATCCAGGGCTGCATCTATTAATTGAAACTAGTCAATTGGTAGCACATCGATTCCTGGGGCCTTATTTTTTACCATTATTGTCAATGCAGCTTCTAGTATGTCCTTCACTACCATTGACTCCTGCTTATATATTACTTTCTGAAGTTTTCCAGTTATCGGTCAGTTCTTTTTGGTACAGTAAGTCTGTGTATATCCTCTATATTCTTTTGATGCTTTCTGGGTCATTCAATTAATTGTCCATAGCGTCTTTCAGTATTGTGCCTCAAGGCTTAAATTTTATTTTAAATTCTCTCAGCTTGAGAAACACAGAGTGAGTTCTTCCTTTTAAATTCTCCAATTCTAGCTCTCTGCACATTCCATTATAACACTTTGTCTTCTACAGTTGCCCTTTGAAATCTTCTGTTCAGCTCTTGGTTTTTTCTGCTTTAGTGAAATTTTCAGCATCTCATCTGGTATCTAATATGTTGTGGGTTTGGTTTTTTTTTTTTTCTTTCTCCTCTATCTTTGAAATGACCTTTTACTCTCTTTATGGACAATATTCTTTATATCATGCCACAACTCATCTGGTCTTTGATCACTGGAGCTTAATATTTTAAACTTATTCTTAAGATGATTTTGAAATTCAGATGTAATAGAGTCAAGATCATATTTTGGTTCTCGTGTGCTTGTTTTAATTTTCTTTGGCCTCAATTTGAACAGGACTATTTCATGGTCTGACCCATGGTCTGCCCCGTCCCAGTTTTCACTGAGTTTCTCCAATATTTCCTTCCACAGAAGAGGAATATGGATCGTAATTTTATGATATTAATTTCAATACCCACATTTAACACACTTTTCCAACTTTTTCTCTGTGATTATTATTTCAGTTTATTCTTCTATTCGGCTCCTTTCTGTTTGCTGAGCTTGTCCTTGGGAAAATAGTCCAGTTATAATTGTGGGTAGCTGATTGTTCCACAGAGTGATATCCTCCTTGGAATTATTCTGTTTCTCTCTCTCTCATTGTCAGTGAGTATGAACTGACTTTTTGCTGTCCCTCCACTGAGTTTCAGAAACAGTAAATCTAAAAAAAAAAAAAATTAAATTAACACTTTCTTCCTCTTTCTGGTGGATTTTGACTGACAGAGTGGTATGACTTTTGATGTCATCACAACCCCCTGCAGAATATGCCTATTGTTTGACTGAGAGTTGAATACAGGGTGACTTCAGTCCTAATCATCAAGGGTGATTAAGAACCATTGTATCAGGCTTCCACTATTGACTGTCAGGCTATCAACCCTGATTATTTTGTATGTTTTTAATTATATTTTACATTTATCTTCAACTCAGCCTCGGATCTGATACCGTGTTCCCTGTGAGAGTGATCAGCAGTGAAATTCTGCGTTCTTAAGTGCTGTATTCCATAGCAAATTTTAATTGCTAGCTACATTGGTTGGAAAGTTTAAAAAAAATTGTGGTTTTTGTTTTTGGGTTTTTAAAAAAATTTTTAAACTAACAATTTTACAACAAGAAATTTCTTATTTACAGCACTTTTTAAAATAGAACGATTTACATTAAAAGTACGTTTTATTTCAAGTTTTTGTAGTTAATAAACCAAAGAACTAATGTTAGAACCTAAGTCAATAAAAGTACCATATTATCCAGCTCATTTCACTTATCAGTGTATATAGATTAATAAAACCAGGGAGTTTTATAGAAATGTAGGCTGATCTTTTGGGACAACAAAATGGAAGATGACTATATCATACTATAACTGCCAAATTTTTCATTACATAACTATCAATTTCTAGCATGACATAGATGCCAAACCCCTGGCAATCAATGCTCTACCACATTGCATATAATTTTTAACTTTCACAGTCATCGTTTTTCTCACCTCTTTCGTTGACATTCATTACTGCCACTTACATGTCATTAATACTTAAAATATTTAGATATCAGACATTATTTTTGTTGTTATAAAAAGTCCAAGTATTGTATAGTGAGATAGTCAATTATTTGAGGAGTTATTACATGTGCAATGAGCAACATTATTAATGTCTTTAAATATATACACTAATAAACATTTCCATACATCAAATTATGAACTTCAAATGAAATACTTAGCTAAAAGTTACACGAGCATCATAGTATCTGCTTATACTTTTAGGTGAAATTTCGTATTGGGAAGATTCTTCTACTATGGGTTTTTTGGGGTTTTTTTAGTATAATATTTTACCTGAAACTTATTTTTAGAAGTTGATGCTATCTTTAAAGCCACTTGCTTATATGAACTCTATCATTCCAGAAATTAAAAGACTAAAACACATGTTGACTGTCTAAATTAAAAAAACATAATTGTGTTCTTTAGTTTGTTCAGAGTTCCATAAAAATGCATTACTCTATGAATCTTTTGAGTTTAAGAAATAGTTTACCCTCATTGCATATTTAAAGGAGGTGAAATCTGATACATTCAATTAATACCAAATGATATTGCATAAATATGAGGTAAATATTTAATATGTTAATGGTAGCTGTTTCAAGTCATCAGCACTTAACTGAGACTTTTAAAAAGGGGATTTTTTAAATTTTTTAAAAGTAATTTTCGATTTCTTTGTATACAAAACTTATATACATTGTGTTTCACTCATGTATATTGTATTCATTCTTTCATTCACATTCTTTCTTATGCTAATCTCCATACACTGTGATTCATAAAATTAATCACCATTGATAGATGCTCACTATCAACCTATCTTTTCAGGTTCCACAAGATCCATCCTAATTCCTTCACTCCTACAGTCCGTCAGCCTACTAATTTTTTTTACCTAAATCTTTTAAAGTATTTAATTATTCATTACATTATATAATGCGATTTACTTTGTTTACTTTTTTTATTCTAAGTGAAACTTTGTTCTCAAATGTCATTTATTTTTTCTCTGTGTATTAAGCTAAATAGCATAAATTGGCACAATTTTAACATCTTTTAAGGCTATTAAAATAATCTTTTATTTATAAATGAGTCCTAAACTAAAATGTGTTTTTATGTATTGCATATTTTTAATTTAATTTTCTGTTTCTAGGGTCCTCCTGGAGCTACAGGGTCAGAGGGAAGGCAAGGTGAAAAAGGTGCTAAGGTAAAATACTATGTTTTGAAAATTCATGTGTAATTTGAATAACCCCTGATTCTGTATTGTTGAGAAATAAATGTGCTTCACCTTATTAATGTGTGTATATGTCTTCTTTCCTCACAGGGAGAAGCTGGTGCTGAAGGTCCTGCTGGAAAAACCGGCCCAGTTGGTCCTCAGGGACCTGCAGGCAAACCTGGTCCAGAAGGGCTCAGAGGTATTCCTGGTCCTGTGGTGAGTATTTGTAATTTGTTTTTGTTTAAAAATCACAAATAAAAATATTTATGGGCAACAATATTTCCCAAATCATAATATAGAATTTACTTCTGTCTTTGGTTTTAGTTGAAATTCAATAAATATGTAATAAGTTCAAATAGTCCTAACATATTTAAATTATTCCCTTTATTTAACACTCTCATGGTAAAATTCCAAGTTATAAATACAATATAGAAATCAATACTGGAGACCCAAAGATGTAAAATATCCATACATAGATTAATTAGCCCAAATATATCTGCAAACCTTCATACTGGGAAAGATAAAATCTT